CATCATTTTCTATTTGGCTGTATGCTGCCTTGAGATCAATTTTTGTAAAGTGCTCCATTTTTGCTATGGCTCACAGTTTCAATATTTGGTAAAGGAAAAGAGTCCAAACATATCTGGTGATTTACCCTTATCTTGTAATCACCACAAATCCTTAAATCTTCATCAGGTTTCTTTATTGCTACTATCAATGATGTACAATTGCTACCACTTTGAGTTACTCTTTCTGGTATGCCTTGTTGTATCATTTTGTTTAATTTGGCTACCACCAAAGGTAGGATATGAATTGGAACTTTTATTGAGTCTATATATTTTGGGTGATAATTTTCTTTTAGTTGAATACTTGCTTTATAGCCTTTCAATAATCCTATTTCATTTTCTTCTGCTTCCATGGAATTGATTAGTCTCGTATCTACTTTTAATACATCAATTCCTTGTAATCCATGATTTTTTTACATTCTACAACTGTAATGGGAATTATTTCAAAATGCTTGTTGGTTTCAAAATTGCCTTGAAATGTACTCATTATTTTTATAGTCATTCCATCAAATTGCTTTAATTGAATGCTGCTTGTTTTTAATTTAGGTTGTCCTAATTTTACCCATAAATTTTTTGGTATCAACGTGACTTCACTGTATCAACTTGCATGTTAAATATCTGGCCATTTTTCCTTATTTTCTCTCTACTTCTTTTTTGTATATTCATTGTAAATATTTCAGCTTCTTCTTCAGAGGGGATTTGTATTGTTTGCACTCTTTCTGTTATAATTTTAATAATTTCTTCAAATGTCATTTCTTCTAATTTGCTTGGGTAACACATTGTCAAAGTTTTCTTCACATCTTCGCACCCAGCAGTAGCAAGAAATAAATCTGTTATCTCATTCTCTCCTCCATCTCTTTGTGTCTCTTAATTTTTGCATTCTTGCAAATGCAGCAAAAGTTCTTATCCATGTTTCTATGTGTTCTGGGTCATCCAGTGAATTGAAGGGTCCTATTGGTGATGCCATTGTTATGTTTTGTGTATCTCTCTGTGTAGTAATAGTCAGAGTAAAGTTCTTCACTTCCTGAATAGCAACCAGGTTTACTAGGCATAGCCCCCATGTTTGCCAGTTCTTCTCTATTTATACGTGTCTATCTAATTTGCATATAATACTACAACAAGATTGAAAAACTTATGGAGGGTAGAGTTGGTAATTATATCTTGGCATGGACCTAAAGGAATTTCTGCAAGTGTAGGTATTTTTCTTCTTACATTTGAATTGTAGCTTTTTAGCACACAAATTAACAAAAGAGTAAAGAAAAAAAAATTTCCACAGAATCAAGAAATTAAAATTAAAAAGATAACATTTTACTTATATTAGATAAAAAACAAAATAATGAATTGTTGGTTTTAATGTTCATTTATAATTATTTGAGATTATTTAGGTCATTAGCAATAAAATTTCATATATATTTTTCAAAAGATTTTTACTAGTGCTATGTGAAAAAAGTGGACAAAATCCCAGTCTCATAGTCATAAATAAATTGAAAATTCAAGGAACTTTTAATTCAAATTTTAATGTCAAATTGAGAATTTCTTCACATAAAGTCAGTTATTGGATACTAAGACCCCTAAGTATGAAATATACCAAATATGTAACCACAGCATTGTTAAAAAATGCTTTTTAGAGGTTGGATCAATTTACTGGACCCATAAACTTGTGAAGTAACCAACAGAAGTAGATGACTTTACTACTGGCGACTATAAATTAATTGTCACTTTTTTCTGTGTTTTTTTCCTGTGATTTTATTACCATCCATATGAGGTACAAATCCCTTTAATCTGTCACCCAATTTCTTTTTCTCAAATTGAAATTGTACCTGTAAGGAATATGTTTGTTGACAATATTCTCCTTATTAAGGTGAGAATGGGACATTTTAAATGTCTGCATTTCATTATCCTGATTGCTAGATAAGAACTTTTTAATAAGAATGAGTGAGTTTTGATAAGTAAGCAATTTATTGATTGGTTATTTTTTGAATATTTGTTATGTCTTGTCTCTTGTGGTTGATTGTAATCTTATCCTACTGAATCATTTAAAGGGCACATTGTGAGTTGTGAATTCTCAAAGTTCAAATATTAATCCATTTAAAAAAATAAATATCTTTCACAGGCAGTTCACTTTTCTATGCTGTTTACTTTGTAATTCTAACAAGGTGAAGAATTAGGCACAAAAAAGTAAATAAACTTTCACTGTAAAATGTAAAATTAATTTATTTATATTTGAACAAGAAGGTTTTTGTATGATAAAGCTATAAAGTTGATTTTCTGTAGATGTATCTATGGCAGTTTTAATTTTTATGTGGCCTTGTTTAAACTTCTCCAGGTGAAGAACAACAAACTTTTTAAAAATATAACACGTTTTTTATGCAGATGTTTTACACAAAAACTAAAATTTAATCCTTGATATATATATATATATATATATATATATATATATATATATGCGTGTGTGTGTAAGTTTTTTAAAATAAAAATCAGTTTGTTTCTAAAATGGAATTGTTTGCCTTAGATTTGTATAGATCAGCTGGCATTTTTTAATTGACTGACTATGACCTGTTGCAAAATCTTGTATTTATCGAGGTGGGGGTCAGGAGATAAAAGTTGAAGGTTTTCAAATTTACTCAAACCAACAGTGATTGGTTAAACATTCTCTTCTCATACCTCATGACCTGTTTTCTTCTATATTCACAAATATAAATTTTATTTTAGATTTTATTTTTGGTATTTTTTCATTTGACTCTTTTATAAAGATATGATGGATCTGACTCTTTTACTATTTTAACTTATTTAACTAGATGGGTTAAAGAGATAGAGGAAAAGAGGTTAGTCTGTTGTAATTTGGTCTCTGAAAAAAGGAACCTGCATGACACACAAGATACATGATAAAATCATTTTTTATAAGTGAAAATTTGGGGGTTGCATGATTGTGTGTTACACAGTATATACAATACATCTTAATATAGTGACCCTTCTTCTCAATAACAGCCAGCAATCTATTATTCATTATTTTGTTAGTTTTTTTCTTCAAATTCAATTTCTGACAGTGACTTTAATTACTTCCTATATATATTCCTTTACTGTCATATTGTTTGCCATCTTCACAATTGACCATTTAGATCAGGTGGTAGTCATTCCATTATCTTCTCTCCTGTAAACCTTTTATACTCACAGGTAAAAAAAGGTAACCTTAGATACATGAGAAGGATCATTGTCATGCATAAATACACACTTTACTTTGAAACTGCAAGGCTGGGATTTGTACCATTTAAAAGAAAATGTTATCCATGAAATCACAATAGTTAGCACTGTTTAGTTTAAATCCTTCCTTGACATTGAATGGTTTAATAATAGTTTGGCCAACAATTCCAGCCTGTGTCATCACACTGCCACCTCCTTGCTGCCTTCTTTTAGCAACAGGTATATCTTCATCAGATAAAAATCCCTCCTTTGGCTCACCAAGTGTCACCCAACATCCATTCACAAAAATTACTTTAAAAACGTCAATTTGCAAGTATTTCTTGGCTCATTTTTGAGGTTTGAAAATATTTGCTTTACTGAGAAGAGTTTGCCAATGAGATTTCTTGACAGTTCCCAATTTGCAAAGTATTCTACATCTTTTGTCCTTGACTCCCTCAATTCCAGCCTGTCCAAAAGATCTATGCACTGGTCAAAGGTGGTTGTTTTATTTATTGTGGTGATAAAATCTGTTCAAGTTGCCTCCCCTCTTCATTGTAACTCTTCTACACTTATAACTATAAAGGCATCTATACAGTGGACATGTTGTAGCTAAATAAAGCTTCAGTAAGCACCACTTCAACTCTCTGTCAGTGTTCATTAGTTATATTTTCAATAATACTCTTTATCATTTGATGATATCTGCAAAGCTCTTTCGATATTTTCAATGTGGACATTCCCTCACTAGATAACTTTGTTATTTTCTGTTCTTCAACATTTTCCATAACCTATGTTTCAACATATGGAAAAAAGAAAAAAAATAGTTTTTATTAGACTTCAATGGCCTTAAACTAATATTAGTTTAATCTGCAAAATAACTTCAGACTGTAGGTATTATAATAAATCCAATAACTTTAATAAAACATGTTGAAACTACCTAAAAATGTAACTAAAGCTTTTTTGACATCTAAATTAATTGTTCAAAATTTGACAAAGATTGTTCAAAGCAAACTCGAGTTATTTAGGTTTAGGGGATTTGCCTAATAGCTTCAGATGGACTGTATTTCTGATGTGATTAAAATACACAAGAAATAGGTTCTATTTGAAGAAGAAAGTAAAAAGCAGACATGTTCTGTATTTCTAATCCATGCTTAGTTAGGATATAAACACAAACCATGTTTGTGATGTAACAAAAATGACATGAAACATAAAGTAGACAAAAATCAATAATAACTATTACCAAAATAATTTTTTGTGTCAAAATGTTTCATTAGTTTCAAAGATTTTACAGCACAGACTATATAGTATTCTCTTAAAGATGCTATCACACACTAACAAGAATGGTCAACAGAATTCTATAAAACAGAGCTGTCATCACATTTCTCACCAAATGAATTAGTAGTTTCTTGAAAGTTTTAAGCAACCAAAAATTTAAATGAATTGTCAATTACTATCTTCTGTCTTCTTAATTTCTGTTCTTTCATTATTCTCTCTTCTTAATGTTTTTTTCTTATATTCTCTCACACTCAGTAACTCCTTGCATCTTAGTGGTTTTATTGCCTTGCTTGAGGTGAAATGATTAAAAAAATACTCATGTTACAATAAGATAGTTATTTAATAACATCATATTTGAAAATAAGAAAATAAGATAGTTATTTAATAACATGATATTTGAAAATATCATCATATTTGATGATATTTTCAGAAATTTCAAAAAATCTTTACCAGTATGGTATAAATTTGGTGAAAGACCATATAATTCTTAAATTTTATTTTCTTCTTTTTAGGAACATTGTAAAGCTGTATCATAAATTAGAACCAATCCTTGATAGTCCATCCCGAAGAACTTTATGGCAATTTTTACTGACTAAAATGTCTAGGTCACACCAAGAATATATTCATTTGAAAGAAAATTTATTAGAAACACTTCATGACAAATGTAAGTCTCTGTTTAAATTTCTTTATTTTTTCAAAGACCAATTTTTACATAGTTTTATCTTTTTAATATGAATCATCAAAAATATACATATATAAAAATTGACTCTTTACAAACAGAATTGTTTGAAACAAAAACACTTAAAGAGAACTTCCCTAATAAAGTTTTCATAAAGTCATTTTTCCTACTAGTATTACTTTTGACTAAAGATAATTTAATTTTATGCATTTATACAGTGATTTTATTTAGTCTCTAAAATTATAGTACTAGTAATAGCAGGAATCTCTCTTTCTCAGGAGACTATGGAGTCTACTAAGGTGGCTAGTTAATCCCTGTTGCAGATGCCCACTCAGACACATTTGTGTTTCTTCAACACTCAAAGAAACAATCTGTGATTTATACTGTAACTATACTGAGTAGACATTAGTTACAGTTTTGGCATGATTAGTAGTTGAACAAGGCCAGAACATTTAAGCCCTCAGTCACGATGACTTATGACTCATGTTAGCACAATCATAGATGTCTTCTGAAAAGTTTCATCTACTCAATTTCCCTCAACACAGGGTATGGTCTTCAGGTACTTTCCAATAGTACCACTCATTGGAATCATTTCCTGGGGCCAATATAATCAAAATGTCTTTTACAAATCAACCATGGCAAAATTTGAACAAGGGTCTCATAGTTGAAATACTAGCCAATTGGACATGTGTCCATTTTCTAAAATATATTACAATATGATGTCACACATTGTGAAATGGATATAGATACAAATATTTAAGCAAATATTACATTTTACTTAAATATTTGTATCTATAAAAAGAATGTATAAACATAAAAATGTCTTAAAAAATAATTGTCGGACTTTATCCATTTCATAATGTGTGACGTCATTTGTTTACATTTGGATACGCCATGAGCAGATATGAATGTACATGAGAGAGTCATAAAAGATTGTAGTTTAAAGACATTAAAATTGACCTTGCTAACCAAACACTCCTCTGTGGCCCAATTGGTTAAAGGCACGTCAGGCTATATGACGGTTCCGTATAGGATACAGGTTCAATTCCTGTCGGAGGACAAATATTTTCTATGAAAATTTCTTGGATATTCAGGTCGGTAAATGTTGTTAATACTGTTTATTATATACAGAGCATTTACTTAAATATTTGTATTTATAAAAAGAATGTTACAATATGTTTAACTAGTTTAAAATTGAAAATTCAGGTAGAAAAAGATGCCCAATATCCTGAGTAAAGTTAAATTTAAGAAATATAAAAATTATCAGTTTTTAGGATTATCATTTACTAATTTTTACTGGGATATTTTATTTATTTTAGGCAATGGGCACATGTAGGTGAAGGGAAAGAGTTTCTTTATGAAAGCGTGGGTTTTTTGAAGGTGCTTATCATTTGCTATCACTACTACATATACCCCTAAAAAGATCATCATCTTTGTAATAATAAATAACAAAAGTAGCACATAACAACTTTATTTATAAAGAAAAATAATTTAAAAATATTCCAAGAAAGTATACAGGCTACTGAAATTACTGATTTAAAACATCAGCAAATTAAGTTTGTGTTATCTTTAAAAAATGTATTTTACTTACTCACTCCCAAGTATGTAAAATGCCTTTGAAATCTACTTTTTGGAATATACCAGGAGAGAGTCATGACCTATTGAGAGAGAATAGTTGCTGACTGGAGTCAAAAATAAGTATGTAAGGCTACTTGTGACAATCAGTGTAATGTTAGAAACATAGTCAAAGGCTTCTATAAAAGAACACAAATAATATTAGGATCCAAGAGAATAGTCATATTTAATAAGAAATAAAGTATTGGAAGAACTTGATTTTTATCTGTTATTATAAAGAAACTTATCTTAAATCCAAATTAAAGACATTGAAAAAGTATTTTTGCTGTACAGTTAATCCTTTTCAGATTAAATTTATTTCTAAATTTTACCAATTTTAAGGTAATTCAAATATAAAATCAATTTCTAAGCTATGTCAGTCAGTGGTTCCGAAACTTTTTTCTCTGGGACACATTTTTGGAACAAAAATGTGCTCTCACATCACAAAATTGTATGTGATAAAAAGTTCACTTAAAAATAAGAAAAACGGAGAGAGGGTTAAAGGGAGATAACCGCAGATTTGAAGTCAGAACATTATCATTGATAACTCTCTCCTTCAATTTGCAGACCCTAGTTACTATATTCTTAAAACTTGGTATAATGCAAAAATATGAAAATAATAAAATCGGTCAATAATTATTTATAACTAGTTATACTGGGACTCATGCATGCAATTACAAGTAATCCATAATAATATTTTAAATTTTGAAATCATATTTATTTTTGGCAAATGAATTTTTTTAAACTGTTTCTAAATTTTTGATTGTCTTTCAATCATTCCACCTCACCTTCTATCCACTTCCACTGCACCTATGCTGTATGCCACACTGTTTGGGAACCACTGATGTAAATTAACTCACTATGACATATATATTCCCATAAGATTATGTTCAGGCCATATGGTAGATGTATTTTAACTTATAAGTATCTACTACCTGGGGAAACTGGTCAACACTGCCTTAAATGGCAGCAGTCCATTTTTAGTGAGCTGTTGGCATATGAGACAATCTTGGCTGATCACAGAGTGGCTAAGAGAACAAAGATTAAGTACAAACAGCATGAAGGCATCATCACCTCATCAACATGCAACATCTGTGGTTATTTATTGTTTATTTACATTGTTTTGCAGCCAGATGATAAATCTTCCACAAATTAAAAGAAAATCAGTGAACTTCCAAAACTGTGATGTTGACATCATTATATGTATAAAAATATATAAATCAATAAGGAACAGTTGGAGAACCTTTATAAATTTAACATATTTTGCTATTTATTCATCTCCATCAGAAACTTTTTAAGTAGAATAATGAAGAGTTGATTTAATTTTTTAAATTCTATTTTGTTTTGTTCTTTTGTTGATTGTGTAGACATCGTCACTAATATTTGTAAAATGTATACTTAAAGAAATTGTGATCCAAACATTTGTAGATGATGTGACCAAGAATTACACATTCACTTTCAAACACTAATCATATTTATCATGCAATTAAAATACATTAATGTATCTGTCAGGGTCAAGCTTAGAGCTGCTACTGATAACATTTAATGCAATATTGGCATCTAAATATTTTTCTGCTGATGAGAATTAGCATATCAAAACACAGGACAAAATATAAGATCTAAAAAAGGATGGATGAGCCAACAAATAATATATATATATATTTTTATATATATATAAAAAGGTGTGAAAATTGGGTCTGTATATATGAATGTTAACCTTCCTAGTGATATGGAATTAATAAAAATACTCATAACTTTGGACTACCATGAGTGTCTGAGTTGGACGACGGGAAAGAGCATCCAACCTTGTAAAACCTTGCCTCAAATCATTATGACAAATCCTGTCAGGCAGGATACATCCTGCTTTGTGTGAGGTTCTGGTCCTTTCTCAACAAAAAAATATGACTATGTATGTATGTATATCCAACTTATTAATACACACTTAAAGTACACTAACATTGCATGAATTATATACACCCAGATACCATGAAGTAAACACACAACAAAACTGATATATACTACATACTAATGCCATAAAATGAACATGTGATGTCTACACGACTAATGGAAACAAAACAACATAGAATTTAAAAATCGAAACAACTCCTCATTATTCCACTTACAAAAAAAAATTCTGGTGAAGCTAAATAATTAGTGAAACATGTCAAATTTATAAAATATTTTCTACTTGGTCCTTATTTAATCATTCTGCAAGATATAATCAATATTTTTGTAATGGCAACCTTACTCTTAACACAGAGAAAAAGTAGAAGTGGCAAAACAACAAATGGAGTTAAGATGTGACTGAGATAAGTAAAAGAGTTTTTAATTCCCATAATTTACAAAGTTCAATTGTTTGCTTGTTCCAGTTATCATATCATGGAAGACTGAGAATTCTTTCATGGTATAAAACACAGAAGTAGTCAAGATAGACATGTGGAGAAAATCAACCTGCATACGAAGTTGAATGAAATAGACTCATAGGAGAAATATTACACAAATTATTAGTAGTTGAGAGTTGCTGCATTGGTGGCATCGTTGATGTTGATGGAAGTGTGTTGGTATTACTGCTGACGGACTGGACAGTCATGTAGTCTGCAATGATCAGTTAAGCTTGCTCAACATGGGGGTTTGTTACTAATGCCAACCAGGTCAGATATGTCTTTGTGAGTGAAATTGGTGTTGGCCTTATAGTGAGTAACTGATTCAGAAACAGTTGGTGGGAAAGAATGTGATCCTTTTTCTGATTAGTCAGAAAAGAAGTTTTATGAATGATATTTTAAAAATTTTGAAAGTGAAAAAATTGGAAAATGTTGAAATTAAAGGTCTTTTTTGTCATATGAATTGTGGATGTTGAAGTGACCACTTCTGTTTGAGTTAATAATTTGAACTTCTGACAGGGTATAACATCTTCAACAGATATATTTATATTAAAGTGCATATAACAAACATGCAATGCCATTTTACTTTTCTATCAATTTCAGGTCAGCTCCCTTCTAATGAAATGCTTATTTTGAAAAAAATTCCATTATGGATAAATTTAAAATTTGAAAATAACTATAACAGAGTGCATTTGCATGTGTTTTTAAAAATCACCATCACAACGGAATGCAGATTTTATCGCAGTTGCAATAAGTTTGTTTTTTTAATTTACCCCTGAAGATTATCTTGGAAAAGATTGAAAGTACTTGGTTTAGAAAAAAACTATGGCACCTTCCTTGATGAATTTCATTTTAACATCAAGAAACAGATTAGAGAATTGGGAAGGATCAGTATAAAAATAGACACAATATGTCTATATTATTCAATGAAATATGTTTGAATGAAGATATGCTGCCTAAATATATGGCTCAGTTTGATTCTGTCATGTCTACCACTTGACAATTTATATTATTAGATTAATTTGTAATTTTAAGGATCAGCTAGATCTAGGTATGGATTAGAAAAGTTTAAGACAGATTTAAAATATTCCCCCCTTTGAACTACATTGAATCTTATAGAGGAAAAGAAAATTTGTGTTGAAGTGTTAAACTTTTGATTCAAGATGTCAAATATGAAAGAGACTAAATTTATTGTACTCTTGCATTCAGCAACAAAGAATTTACTTGAATATTATTTGAATTATAAAGAAGAAACAAAGATGAAAGCTGCATTGGACATCTACTTGAAAAACAGGTAAATAAACATTTTATATTGATCATTTGTTTCATCAAAGTATTTTGAAAGTCATTGTAATCTTTTGTAATACTTGCATTTATTCTTGACTATGAACAATCATTTTCTTCCTGACATTCAATGTTTTTCTATATCAAAAACATTACCAGTATATTTACATTATAAGTATAATAGCCCTAACCTGTTGATAATACTTGCATTAATTCTTGGCTCAATGCATTTCTACAATAAAAATATTAGCAATAGAATAAAAATAATCTATAATATAAATATAATGCTTTTACTATAGAATTAGATATGATTTTATTATAGAAATGCATTGAAAACCAGGAGAGAAAGGATTGTTCATAATCAAGAATTAATGCAAGTATTTCTGACAGATTAGATCTTTTATTATTGGAATGTAATGTTCTAGCTAATATTTTTCCTATAGAAATGCATTGAATATCAGAATGTTCAATAATTACATTCCAAATAATAAAAGCCCAACATCTGTCATTTGCATTAATTTTTGTTTATGAACAATCCTTTTCCTTCTGATTTTCAATGCATTTCTATAATAAAAGCCTCTTTATAATTAAAACACATGTAATTCTATAAAATCATTAGATTTATATTATAAATATATGAATTAATGCAAAGTGTTATTGATAAAGTTGAATTAATTGATTTGTTTCTTTAACAGCATATCAACTCCTTATGGGTCATGTAATGGATAGCGGCTTAGAAAGAGTAGAGTTCGAATTTCAGTTAGGTTCAATTACATTCACTTATGCACAAATAATAATGCCAAAATTTAATTTTATTAGGAGTTTTGAAATAATAAAATCTGCTTTCACAATTGAATCCATGGTAGATACTCAGATTTTGTGCATACACATGTTTGTGTGGACATGATTATTAGAGGCGGTGATATGTGTGTTTTATATTCTAGTTTTGTTCAAGTTATATTCTGGAATACTGTTCGATTTAAGAAATTGTAGGATATTATATGACTAATGTTATGATAGAGTTCTTTCATGTTTGTTGTTTGGTTGGTTTGTTTTGTTTGGTGATATATCAACTTTTATGGATTATCTAATGCCAAAATCTAAATATTTTGTATGTAATTTTATACTTTCAGAGTGAAGGCATGTTTTTTAGATATATAGTTTGTAGATCATAAAATATATTGTTGGTAATGTTACTATAAAAATGTATTTTTATATTTTTAATGTTGCATTGATTGTCATTTTGCTATAGAAATTTATTGTTTGTCATCTTATTATAAAAAATGTACAATTGATTTTTGTTTACTATTTGCCCATAGCTGGGACCCTAACAGATGCTACCACCCCAAGTCAGGTTAGACTTGGGAATAATAGCAATTAAGTGTTGGTTCTAATCTTCCAATCAGAGGCCTTGCTGCTGGATGTAATTTATCATCATACCCAGGATGAGATAGATTAAAGACTATTATCCTTATAATGTAAATCTATTGCAAATACTTTTACTATTGAAATGCATTGAAAGTCATGATGAAAAGGATTGTTTATAATAAAGAATTAATGCAAATTTTACTAACAGTTTAGTGTAAATTTGGCACATGATCCTATTTGGGAAGCAGAGAACAAATGAATAATAATTTATGAGATTATCATTCAATCACGATGTTTGATGCATGTGATATATTAGTAAATACAGAGTTAATTCCCCTGTAACTATTTATATGGACCAATCTCATTTCAATAAAGCATAAAGACAATATCTACTGACAGTCAGAGATTTTACAGTTAAACACACAATATGGTTTTTTATTTACTGTTGTCTTGAGTGTTGTAATGGATAACAGCCCAGAAAGAGTAGAGTTCAAATTCCAGTTAGGTTCATTACATTCACTTATGCACAAATACCCTTGTTTTTTTTTCATCTGTTTAACAGCATATCAACTTGTTATGGGTCATGTAATGCCAAAATTTAATTTTATTAGAAGCTTTGAAGTAATAAAAATATATGTTATTCTGCTTTCACGATTGAATACATGGTAGATGATACTCCGCTTTTGTGCATACACATGTCTGTGTGGACATAAATGTATTGTTGGTAATTTTACTATAAATAGCTATTGCTGGTAATTTTATTATAAAAATGTATTTTTATACCTTCATAGTGTTTTAGCAAAAACTTTTGGGAAAGGTACAAATCCATTTCCTTCCCATATCTATGGGTTAAATAGTAGGACTTTTATCTGGAAAAGTTACTGCCATCTCCTTGTTAATTCAATATTCACTCGCAAAAATAAAAAATATAGTTCTTACAATTCAAAACATGCTTTGGCTTTAAATAACCAACAAAAGGTTGATAAGACATAAAAAACAAATCAATCAGTCACTGTTGTCCTGCATATGACAATTACATGATACAACAATAATATGATACATGATGTGACAATAGTACAATACATGATGTGACAATAGCATGATACATGACAAAAAACAAGTGAGTCATTAAATTATTCAATCAAAAATGCAGAATTTTTCTTTATGTTTGCCAACTAAAAGAGGATAAATAAATTGGTTCAATCATACGTGTGAAATCATTTTCTGAGGAGTTTAACTTTGCTTCTAGACTTTGATAAATTGTCTTCTCCCCATTCAATTCACTTCTTTTGCTTTTGCAGAAGTTTTGAACAGGTGAAAATTATTGAGCGAATCTTGAATACACCTGCGAAGGATGAACTCTGGAACAGCATTTTCCCCCATTTGATGCCTGAACATTTACATATCATCCAGAAACAAAGA